AAGCCCTAGAATAGAGAGCGCCAGACCCAGAATATGCTGGAGAATAAGGCCTTCCTCTGTGCAGCCGCCAGATTCTGATCACAACAGTTGGTTTCTGCAGTTAAAGGAGTTGCTGCTTGACACTCAACAAGGCCTTTGTTGATCCTTAACTCGAGGATGAGTGGTGTTCCCGTTTTCCCCTTACCACCGGTGCCTGACGGTGACCAAGTCTACCGTGCCCCGTTGAGACTTGGTCCCTCCAGTCTGGTTGAGCCCAGTTGGGGCCCAACGAACTCATCCAATTGCCCACAAACTGTGCTACTGAGCTGCCTTCCTCTGCAGAGACCTGCTCAAGCGTGTGCTTCACCAAGGAGGTGCCTCTCCAACAAGAAGCAGTGTGGTTGCGCCCAACCTCCCGCGAAGCCCAACGATGGATATCCTCATCGCCCTTCCATGCACTCGCCCGCTCCACGTCAACCCACATGAACCCAAAGCTCCACGGTGAAGCGCTGAACACAAAGCGAACGCCGCGGTACGAGCGCGCGCCGAAAGCGCCTTGGAAGGAGAAGGTGCCCCGCAGGCGATGGTCCTTGAAAAGCACCCGCTCATACCAGACCTGCGTCTTCTTAGGCCCGACCCACCAAGGGTCGCGCGTTCGCGTGCGCAGGTGACGACGATGAAGGACGTCTCAGACCGGTGGGAGAACGGGAAGCATCACGAAGGAGGTGTTTCGTCTCTTTGCAATGCTTGAACTCCAGAAACATGTGGCGCTTGGCGCCATGAACGGGAGGGAAACTCAGAAATCCGATGTTGATCGATCTTGCCAAGCCTGAGACGCCCTGATCAAGAATTCGGGGCCCCTATAGTCATCACAAGAGTGTTCAAATTCTCAAGACTGTCTCCAGAGGGTGGATCCTTGGCAATGGCTGGTTCCCAAACAACTTCAGAGTCAATGAACTGGTTCCAGAGTAGAAGGGCACAATCCCCCAGGGCAGTTTATATATATATATATGGTAACTGGACCCTATATAAAAGACATCTTGGGTTGTGCCATCGATATACTCTGAAACCACTGGCTGGTAGTTGTCTACATCATCCTCGCCAGGGTGCTGCATCATCCTCCGGCATCTGATCCTGGTCCACAGGGGTGGTCGAAGGTGCCGGTGTCGATGGAACTTCATCACCCCTTGTGCGTCTAACATGCGAACATGTATGTAAGGATACAGATTTCACCTATTTCTTCGGACTATTCCAGTAATTGTTGTGTTTATTCAGTCAAAAACGTGATTGGAAAAGACTTCTTTGCCTTGCAAACCATGAGATCCCTTCCCTGCTAAGCAGTCTGTCTAGAACATGACCCTGGCATGTACCAAAGAACACTTTTGTTCTCTGGATAGTACCTAGAACCGGACATGTAGCGCAGCCAATATCACAATTATCAAACAGCAGAAATGGATGTTAACAATGCACTCTTGATTACATGATGGCCGCCCAAATGGGTATCTCATGACTCAAGCCACTGGATCAACTCCACGGGACCAGCGGAGTGCTGATCAAGTTGACCCGGTGAATCTGCTACGGCCAAACAGCATACACTCTGCGCACGTTCCATGGAAGTGGACCTGTAGGTCAGCTCATCGCTTTGTTGTATGGAACATCCCCCGGCACTGCAGGTGCAGAATTATATATATATCTCTACTTATAAATGACTGTTGATCATTATATCCAGGCCATTACAGTCCAACGTGCGCCGTGCGCCGTGCCGCCGGACATGAGGGTCGAAGGAGGGTCGAAGAACGGAAGAGGGGCGTTTAGCCTGAAGAACTCCCCATATAAAGTGGCCTGGCCCAAGGGGATATACCTTCTACATGGACAACCCTGGCAATTGTACTGTATGTCAAACTGCTTTCAAGTTGAAACATGTTTTAAGACACCTCAAATGGATACAGTTTCTATCAGCAGGCAGTTGCCAGCCATGTTTGACCCCGCCCCAAATCGTCAGGACAACTAACATATACCAATCAATACATATAGAGACAAATATACAGCATCATTGAACCATACAGTATACAACACATTACAAAGCATTCAGAATCATATTCAATCAACTACCAATCTACACCTTCACCTAGTCTCATGACTTCACCTTCTGACCTCGCCAGCCATCTCTCATCAACTCTAAGAGCCCAGGAGCGGAAAACCATGAAGACGATCTACCCGTGACGACCATGACAAGAACATGATATGGAAAATGGCACTGATTTGCCAGTCATGGAATGACTTAACAACGGCATGGCACGACAGGGGTGGAGTAAAAAAACAAAAAATCGAAACAACAACCTAACAGTTAACAGGTTCAGCATCCAAAACTGTAATAGCAGTTATCTCACATGGACATAATACATCGTTTTCATGACTAAAGTTTCATTTGAAGTGGACACCGTAGATTGGTACCAGCCGTGTCCAAAATGGTTTCAAACATCAGCTGGGCGTCAAAGGGTATCTCACCTTGGCCAAACCATCCGATCGGCTCGTAGTCATCAGTGGCTACCACCTCCACATTCTCGTTGTCATAGACTCCTGGATGAATCATTCGACAAAATGTCTTCGAACTTCAAATGATGACTTCGTTGCGTCGCTGGTCTGCAAGTTGGGAGAACCCCACACGGGCCCCACAAGAATTCAATGAACATTTTGTTGAAAATGGGGATGAGATGGGACGAGATTAGATGTTATATAAGATCTTTCGAGATTTGTTTGAGACCCTTGTGGGGGTCAATGTGCAGGAAGCGGATGGCATCCCCCAAGCAAGAGTGAACCACTCCAATCAGAGTCCACTGCCACCGTATATTAGAAGGTTTTGCTTGGTCAGAATGAAGCACCTGCTTAAATGATCATCCAAGACTACTTTGTTGTGATCGGTGGACTGCCTCCATCTCCACGATTTGGACCAATTCGAACCAGGATCCTATCGACTAGCGCCAAGCATCTGTACACGAGCTGGTACTCCTGGTACTGAGCTCCCAATGCCACCGCAGACTCATGTTTCTCGTCTTGTTCCTGCGCCATTCATGGTCAATGACCCTGCTGGGCAGATTCATCGGTATGACTTGACCCAATACCGCCCATTTCACCTTGGATTTGTACGTTGCTTATGTGAGCAGTGAGAACAAAGGCTGCAGCAAACAAATTGACTTCGAGCGTCAAGAGTCCCGAAGGCCATCTGCATCTGCAGGATTTCCTGACTGCGTTGGACTCCTGGTTCTGTGTTTTCTTTGATTCCCGAGTCGTATACCTCTCCAACATGCACCTCTAGCAACAGCAGTCCCCTGATACATGCATGACTCGCATGGCTTCCCAAACGCATGTTTCAAGCGCAAAATCCGGATACTTGATTCACTGAAACATCTGAAAACTATCCCCCCAGCATCTGAGTGCTTCTACGTCTAAGATCCTCTTTCGGAGATACCATCCTCCATTCCCACTTCAAAATCCCCAAGGAATCCACCCTTGCACCCAGCTGACTATGAGCCAAGACCCTCAACCCCCACTCCTCGAACTGAAAAATGCCGCGTCGCCGCAGCCGCTGCGCCTCCACTGGCCCCAGGTGCGGGCGACAGATCCGCGTGGCCGCCACTTCCGGGGAGGCACCTAGCGCAGGGGTGCTGCCCGCGACGGCGAATGGCGTGGTTTTGCAAGGACAAAGCCTCGGCTGTGGTTTGGGCACCCTACCTATGGTGTGGAACGCACCCAAGCCATCCCAAGCTACCAAACAGTCCGGCGTGCCTGGTGCGCTGCCGAGTAATCCAGTGACTCGACCCTTGAAGGCACCGGTGTGCCAACGGCCCAGCAGAACTTTGTGCTGGCGCACGAGCAGCGTTTGCACGAGGAAGGTCATGGCGCACGCGGCGCGTGCCGCGGTGCGTCTGCGGTGCACGTCTGGCTCAGCTTCGGCACGGTTTACATTATCCCTTGTGGCCAGGCGTTTGGGATCTCAAAGTCGTTTCAGGGTCCTGGATGGATGGATGGATGGATGGATGGATGGATGGATGGAATTCAATCATAAGATTTGCACAGGCCATGGAGGATGGATGCCTGGGCCTTTTTTGAGTGCGATCTTGCCTGTTCTGCATCAGACCACATCAAGTCATCCAATCCAATCCGTCTGACGGATCACATGATGCACCGAAGGTGTAAACCCTGCGATGAACTTGGGTCTCTTACCTCACAGGCTTTCACATGGGACCACATCAGGATCAAACCATGCGGCCCAATCTGAAAATCAGGCATGGCAGGATTCCCGGAACTTGGGCCGAACAGCAGCATCTTTTGTGTCATGCGTTGTCTCCGAAAAGCTGGCGATGCCTAGGGCTGCCTGGAAGGTTTCGGATTTCGGCCCAAACACTCCAAGGTGGTGGAAAGAAAACACCTACATCGGGCCTTTGAAAGCCACCCCCAATGTATGGCAAATATGCCACCCCCACGGTGGAGAGAGTCGGTGGTCTCATGAGTCCCATGCATCCGCACGAGCCCGTTTTCGAACCCGTTTTCGGACCCGTTTCCGGCATGAGTCCCGTCAGTTCTCTGCCCGGTTAGAAAGCACTCCAGCAGTGAAAACATCCATCTTGACAGACACGTGGGTAGATTGTACTTAAGGGTATTTGATTGATCTATGTTGATATACAATTATTCCATATTATTCCTGTTCCACGTCAGAAGCCTTTCCTTTTCCACATCAGGAGTTTCGACGCCCCCAAAACTGGTCTGTCTTTGCTTCCAAGATGTGGCTTGGGTTCTTTGGCCTGCACCTACTCACTTCAAGTTGACACTTCTCTACAAGAAATCCTGCACAACCCAACATGTGGGCATGTGGGCACTTGCTCATGTTCTGGGTCCACTCTGAGCATATTCACATGGAAAAGCATTGCTTTTGGAAGGGAAGACGGTTCCGGACTGCCTTCTTGCCCAAGATGGGCGGGATGGGGGCGCACTTCCATGTAAAGATGTCTTGGTCTCCACGCCACAGGCGCTGGTGCCGCTTGCTGCAGCTGAGGTCTTGGGGGGTGCGACACGTGCACGTTCAGCTGAAGTGGATGGTGTCAGATGAAGGAATTCCTGAAGCCTCGGGGTGGAGCTATACCGGCTATACCCCCTGACTGAGACTCTGGGCTCAATTCCCGATGGTTTTCCTTGAAGCGGATCGAATGGAAGGAACGCCACAAATGGAAGGTGAACCCATTTCTATCCGCATCGTCTTGAACGGTCTGCACAGCATTCCAAAAACTGCGCAAATAAACAATATATTTGGAAGGAGTAGACCTGTGCGCAAAACCTGGAAGCATTCTTCCAGATTGTAGTTATAATATATTCTATCTATCTTATTGTAAGTCTATAATCCCGAGTACCTATTAATAAACACTCCCCAATTAAAAAAACCCCACGTCCGAACCCCTAAATTCGGTTTATATTTGGTTTTAAATTGCCGCCCTTTCAAACCGCTACTAAACTACCAACATGGTCGATTTTGGGGGTAGTTTTTTTTATTAGGTTCCCCAAAACTCCACCATGACACGCCGCGCTTACACCAACAGGCTTTCCTTCCCTCAATGGCACGGACTCACGCAAACGCACTTGCCACCGAGGTCATGCAACACCGCATGGCACAGCGACATCACCTTTCGAAAGCTTTAGCTGTTAGTCTACTGAAGAATCACTATTCTAATGAAGGTTTTTGTAGGGGAAAAGGAAGACCCCTTCGATCTGGCGGTTTTTTGCATTTTTGATATGAGTTTAATAAAGGATTTTATATAAAATTTTCCTGGATTACTTTTTTGTTTTTGAAACTCTTTCCAGGTGACCCTATTTTGAACCCCCGATTTCAGGGACCCCC